AGTGACAAGCAAATCAGTAGATTGTGTTTTTCAATATACTGATTCAAAACTGGTTCATTGATAAAGGTTTGAAGTAGGAAATTATTTATTAATTATATTTTATTTAATATTTTTACATCTATTGTATCTGTGACCAGAGCATGCACAGAAGTGTCATAGCCGTAGACTAGTAGTCGCTAAACAAAACGGCAAAAACAATGAGCTCAAGTCTTGTTTGACTAAAATTAAACTATTAAAAAATAGTTTGTTAATTGAACTAAAGCTGCAGTAAAATAAATCTGAAATATTAAAGGTAAACTTAAACAATTTGACTAAGTGAAATAAAATAAGTCGAATTTGAAGGACTAAAATACACACTAAATAGAAATATTAAATAACATTGATGATGATAATAATAATAATAATGACTAAACCCCTTTGAACAGTTTGCAGTTTGCACTGAAACTGTCTTTTGGACCTTGAACCGTTTGGTTCCCATTGAAGTCCATTATATGGAGAAAAATCCTGGAATGTTTATCAAAAAACTTCATTTCTTTTCGACTGAAGAAAGAAAGACATGGACATCTAGGATGACATGGGGGTGAGTAAATTATCAGCAAAAGTTTTTTTTTTTTAAATGAACTAATCCTTTAAAGATTATTTTAAGTATGAAATTATGCAAGGGTAAAATTAAATAAAAAACAATTAAAAAAAAAAATAGGTGCGTTATGATTTGTTCCAATTTTTTTTCCCCACTTTCAATTAAATAAACCTTGGGCCTTTGAAATCGTCTTCCGATCCCAAAACATTTAAAAGGGTTTAAAGTTAAAATGCTACTTAAGGAAGTCTGTTATTTGTGCAGGTTGTATTTCCACCTAAGGGGAAAAAAACAAATGTAACCAAATGCTGGAGTGTCAGTCACTCATCAACAGCTGAAACTATCATTTACGCCACAGGAGGCCTGAGGGGAGAGAAGGAAAAGTGCTCTCTGTCCTGACAGGAGGAAGAAGGGAGAGGAGGAGTAGAGGAAATGCTTACCGGGTATCAACACGCTTGGCCATTTGGCTGTCAAGTGGGTAAAAGGTAATTCATCAAGGGTCTTCCTCCCTTCATTATAGTCACAATAAAGTCTCTTAGGGAAGTGTTCAAATGAATGGCTACAAACTAAAATATATTATCAAAATAGTCAGACATAGGGATAAAAAAAAAAAAACCAACGTATATTCCGACCGAACCCTGGATTTGTGCATCTAGATCTGCATCAACTTGAAACATTGTCTTGAAACAAGTTCCCCTGTAGTCAATCATTTTATCCTTTAAAACTCATTTTTGATGACCAAAATGACATATTTAAAACAATTTCCTTAAAAAAAATATTCTTCATGCCTTAAAATAGATCGAATGTAACTCGACACCCTTGCCTCATTTAGTATATGCGGTTCTATGAATATGCAAATTAGCCCCGCCTCCACTCACACCAGCCAAATACGATAATTATCGTATTTGTACGATAATTATGTACAAATAATTATGTACGCATCTCTTCCATTTCACCTGACGTTACGCCTTCTTGGCCAATCATCGTGGAGAATAACTCTCCGTCACGGGCAAGCTAACGTTCCTGCCGCTGCGCTTCGGTCGGTTGTTTCCAAGCTGAAGTTGATAGTTTAGCATTAGAGTAATTTCCAGGTTATGACAAAAAGTTGTTGGTCTCTAGATATAGCACTATTCAGTACGATCATTTTCTTCCAAATACGATAATTTTGAGATTCTGGTACGATACTTTTAACTTATGAATGTGCACATAAACAACATTAAAGGGATAGTTCACTTTAAAATTAATTTTTGGTATGTTTTAGCTTACCTCAAGGGCATCCAAGATGTAGGTGTCTTTGTTTCCACAGTAGTTTCAATTTTGATATTTTTAGGTCAAACCGTTCTTGTCTGTCAGTCATATAATGCAGGTCTATGGTCACCACCTCAAAGAGCATGCACAGAGAAGACCAAATTAAACATGATTTAATGACTCGTAAATGTAAGTACACATTGATGGCCTAAGACACGGAACGAACAGTATTTATATCGTTTTTACCTCTTCTAACCACAGCCACCAACCATAACCACAGCCACAAGACCACTTGGACCTGACTGTGATTACAAGAGGTAAAAACAATAGAAATACCGCTCGTTTCGTGTCTTAGGCCATCAATGTGTACTTACATTTATGAGTCATTAAATCATGTTTACTTTGGACTTCTCTGTTCATGCTCTTTAAGGTGGTGACCATAGACCTCCATTATATGACTGACAGACAAGAACGGTTTGACCTAAAAATGTCAAAATTGAAACTACTGCGGAAACAAAGACACCTACATCTTGGATGCCCTTGAGGTAAGATAAAACATATCAAAAATGTATTTCAAAGTGAACAATCCCTTTAAAAGCTGGATTTTCACCTTGATTTTCATGAAGAGCACTACAGTACCCACAGGGCTACGCTTCACAGCTCTGCTTCGTGTTCCCAGAAACATGATCTCCACCGTGGAACAGCTCCACAGGGCGGAGTACTTTCTGTGTCTTCTTTTAAAAGCAGTAATTTATAGCGTCTCAGGTAGTCAACTCTTCCCTTTACAACAAACACCTTTTCATTACAAAAGGAGGATGATGAGACAACGGAGAGGGAGAGAGAGAGAGGGGGGGGAGAGGTATTTCTGTGTAGCCGGAGGATACAGATGACAGCTATTTCACACCTCCAGCTCTGGGGTCAATTCAAACCTACCATGTTTATTTAAAGCCTTCACAGTCGGCCAGAGCAGAAGTGACCGCTCATTTTATAACGCAACGCAAGACGTTCAGAAGTCTCCCGGGAACGCTGCTTTTCCGAAATCCAAAAGACGAGGACGACGGTGTGGGGAAGCACGTTTGGGCCTGTGAGAGCCACAGGCACTCGCTCCGCTGGAATGATGCCAAGGGACACATTTTTCAGGGTTTTATTTCAGCTGCTGTGTTTTGTTTTTTTCCAACCCGTTTGCCTTTTTCACTCTCCGTCTATGACTTGAGGGCTCGAAAGTCCTTAGGGTTTTAAATGGCTATTTTGAATATGAGGTAGAAATGGAGAACACATGTTATCCAAGTGTAAACTTCCACAGCTTTCCCCCACGGCATACGACTGGCATACAGCACATCACAGACATTAATATGGTTTGAAAAAGTGCATAGTGATACGGGATAGCCAGTGTTGGGAAAGTTCATTTTCTACATGAACTACATCAAAGTTCAGTTCACAATTTTTTAAATGAACAGTTCAGTTTATACTTCAAAAAATTAAGTAGTTCATAGTTTTGTTTTGTTTTTCCATATGTTGATGTGAGCTTCTTTTTTTTAAATTATGGCCACTGCCCATATACAACCACAGACAGCAATTATTTTATCAGTGGGCAAAGTTTGCACAGAAATGTAAGATTTGTCCCATCCTTACCGCCCTTGTCATAAAACTCGTTTAAAGGAGTAGTTCACTTTTGAAAAAAAACTTTTGCTGATAATTTACTCACCCCCATGTCATCCAAGATGTCCATGTCTTTCTTTCTTCAGTCGAAAAGAAATTAAGGTTTTTGGTGAAAACATTCCAGGATTTTTCTCCATATAATGGACTTCAATGGGAACCAAACGGTTCAAGGTCCAAAAGACAGTTTCAGTGCAAACTGAAACTGTTCAAAGGGCTTTAAACGATTCCAGACGATGAATAAGGGTCTTATCAAGCGAAACGATCGCTCATTTAATAAATAAATAACAAAGTTTAAGTTTTATAAGCTCAAATGCTCGTCTTGCTCTGTTCTGTGACTCGCGTTTGTACTTGTTTATCAAGATTAACGAATCTTTTTCCGAGACATTTGGTTCATTCAACGAACGAAACGAACGAATTGACTCGAAAAAAGATTTGTTCATTTTGATGAACGAGTTCCAACAGGAGAGTCACGAACGCTCATCACAGAACAGAGCAAGGAGAGCATTTGAGCTTATAAAACTTAACCTTTTTTTTCTTTTTTTTTTAAATGAGCGATCGTTTCGCTTGATAAGACTCTTATTCGTCGTCTGGAATCGTTTAAAGCCCTTTGAACAGTTTGCACTGAAAGTGTCTTTTGCACCTTGAACCGTTTGGTTCCCACTGAAGTCCATTATATGGAGAAAAATGCATCAAAAACCTTAATTTCTTTTCGACTGATTAAAGAAAGACATGGACATCTTGGATGACATGGGGGTGAGTAAATTATCAGCAAAAGTTCCTATAAATGATCATACAACAACTCCTCGCTGCTTTTTGTGTTGATGACGCATGCGGCAGCGTGGTGCGACACTCATGTCTAGTGTTGCCAGATTGGGTGTTTTTTTCCGCTACATATTAAGGCCTGTTTACGTGTGTTTTCAACTGGATGGCTCTATAGAAATCTGGCACCCTATTGAACAAAGTTAAACTGAGAGAGCGTGCGTTTACAGACACCAGAACCAAAATACATTCACGTTCGCCCAAAATATGAACACGTTCAGGCACAACACTGGGCATAGCTAGACAATCATTTTGTACAATATTGACAGATATCAAACTCTAGTTTATTTTAATGAGGACAAATTTTGGAAAACAGTATTGTACTTGCTCTTCAGAATAACAACAACATGATATTTAATGTGTAGGTGAAGTCTCCTGAATACACGCTTAAAAATGGGCCATTGAGATACCATAATGATGTCCATTTATATAAACACATCTTAATGGTACTATTGCAAAAGAAGACAAAAACAGCCAGTTTAATTCAGGCTCAGACAGAGGGTGGAAAACACTCACACCTGTTTTTGTTGAAAGAAAGCTTAAGCAACATTAAAGTGAAAAAAGCTGCCATAAACGCGTAGGATATGGCCAATTTAAAAACTATTTCAGAGAGCGTAATTGCAAAGTGTCTGACACATGGTTTATTGTTAACACGTCTTCAACTGAGATACAAGAGGACTAACAAAAAAACACTTACTCTCTTCTTGGGTGGCTGGTCTGCAATGGGACTGAAGAGTCTGAGTTAGGAGTATTGAGATCAGCAGCAGCATGGTCTTCATCATCGTCATCATCATCAAGGATCCTCTACATCTGAAATCTGCATCCAGCCCAGCTCTCCATTAAAACAGCTAGGACATCCGCACTGTGTGTGAGGTGAAAAAAACCAGAAAGCAAAACTATTAAGCATATTAACAACATGAACCTTTCGTAATGTGGCATTTATGTTAGCTGATGATCTTTTTCTCCACACACACACCAGACAATTCTTACGCCAGCATTCATTTCAGAAGCAAAAACCATGCTAAATGGTTTAAACATATAATAACCTTCGCTTTAGAGTAACTTGAACTGAGGAATTGTGCAAATGAACATCAGGGACACTCCTGACGAAATCAATCTTATGGCTTAATTCCAGTAAAACTCTATAATAAGAGTGACAGAAAGCCCTACATGCTTGAGCAGCACACATCAAAGTTTGTTATAAACAGCCTGATAAAACTCTCCATCCATTTTAGCTGTAACCATGAAGCAGACGAAAACATATCTTTGCTGAATAAGGTCAATCCTGGAACAGCACGTCCTTTAAGAACTCAAGGATTTTAACCTCAGACTTTTCCACTACATCAGTGTGTCTTTAATGAGTTTGCATCAACAAAATCACCTTGAACAGTCAGCTAACGTGGCACTCTTTGATTTTAATTACTTAATATGTATCGAAGACAACACAAATGTACAAATTTAAATGCATGAACCATACATATTTCACTGCGCAGTTCTGCGGGATATCACTCCATCCGTTTGCTCTTACAAACACACGCAGTAAAACGCACAGAAACACAAACACACTCTTCCAGCCCTTCACAGATATCTGTCAACTCCGAGCTGGTTTTGACCCCAGCATGACCCCCTTCACGCCGTTTGTCCTAATAGCTATCGGAACTCCTCCTTCAAACATCATTTACACATTTCAACACACACCCCGCACTACGAGGGCATTGGTCTGAAAAAGCAGCGTTTCACAATTCATCTGGCAGAATGTTGAGCTGTGGTAATGTGTGTGTGTCTGCTTGCATTCGGGATTTTGCTTCTAACTCATAAATGTAAATAAACTGGGGAAAAAAAATTCTTAATATGGCCAAAGCTAAAGTTAATATCAACCCTAGACTTTCTAAATTAACTACATGAATACCCAACTAACCGTATATGCGGCTATTCATTATTAACTCAAGAAAGACCTCAGGAAATATCCTGGCAAGTGATGATGTGAATCGTGAAATGTCTTATTATGGCACAGCGCATTACTTTAAAGAGGGTTTACGACCTACTAGCTACGTTCTGCCTAAAAACAAATGGTGGATCTGAATAAAGCACAAAGATAGTAGTTACTAAGCCTCTAGTGTGAATAATTATGTGTCCGTACAACATTAAAAAGTTTGTGTTTCGATATGTGGAGTGAAGTTGTGGAACAGATTAAGTTCAGTACTTAAACAATGCCCAAGTATGACTCAGTTTAAAAAGCATTGTAAAAATATGATATTTGCAAGGTATAGAGAGGATGAGAAGGTTTTTAGTTAGGTGATAGTTTATTTATATTTTTTCAAAAAAAAATTCTCTTTTTATTATTATTTTTTTTTTATAATGTAATTTTTTATTGAAGATGTATATAAACTAGGGCTGTGCAAAAGTTAATTGCGATTAATCGCATCCAAAATAAAAGTCTGTTTTACATAATATATTTGTGTGTGCTGTATATAATTATTTTGTATATATAAATACCTATGCATGCATGCATATATTTAAGAATTATTTGCTCTTAAATTCTGTATATATATATAAATACATAATCTATATTATATAAATATTTTATATATGAATAACACATTTTCTTAAACATATACATGCATGTGTGTGTATTTATATATACAAAATAATTATATACAGCACACACAAATATATATGTAAACACAGACTTTTATTTTGGATGCGATTAATCGCAATTAACTTTTGCACAGCCCTAAAATAAACATAGGTGGATATGTATGTTGTTTTTGGTTTTTTTGGTGTGTAGAGACAAATAGATCAAAATGTTCGGTCGACCGGTTAATTAGTTATAATTAGTTGAAGATGGGGTAGGATTGAATAAGCTTATGCTTCTTCCTACTCCTTTTCGGACATGTGTTAGTTAAAAATTGTTTTGTTTTTTGTGTTTTTCTACATGTTCGAAATAAAACTTTTCATTCATTCATTAGTGTGGGCTTTATGTTTGAAAGAACTTACGAACGGCTGGAGCAATCCTACCTTGAAGGGCCATGCCTATTCAAACTGGACACATGCCACATTTGATTTTAAGCCAAGTGCATTTTCGAATGACACCAGGACGAATTTCGCACACGATATTTGTCGACGTTTAACGTCTCGTGACTAAACAAAGGGTGCCAATGTGAGTCTGCACACCGACACGAAAAACACCACGCGTTAAAGCGTAATTTTTTTTTAAACGCCTCGGGTGCGTTTTTTTGGTTTGACGCGCCGTGCCAAAAACTATCCGACCAATGAGATTGGCGCTTTTGCTCACGCGTCTGGAGCTTCTAAAGTTACAGTAAAACACAACTTGGGGGCGCTCAAACACAAAACGGTCTTGCCGAGCACACATACGTAACTGCAAAAAAGATCTACGCCAAGTAGCGTCAACACTGCAGGGAAGAAATAAGATGAGGAAGATGCAAGGCAAGATAAATGTAGAGCTGCTGGTCTCGCTGGTGTCGAAACATAAATGACAAACGAGACTGCGAATTCAAAATAGGACTATTTCTGTTTTACATTAAGCGCCATCTAATGTCAGGGAATGAATTGGCATGTTCACTCGGCTCATCGTCAGCGAAAATCGCTTGGGTGTGAACACAAAAAATGCGTTGAAAACGCTGGCGAATGACGCACGCCGATATTTGCCCCAGTGTGTACGGCCTTTTATATCTCTATAATTTCTTTTTAGGACTCATGCAAAAACATTAGTGCATAATGCACTTGAATATTTTACAGAATAATGTGATGAGATGTCCACAGCTGCTCTAGTAAGTCCATGTCTTTCTTTCTTCAGTCGAAAAGAAATTGATGAAAACATTTCAGGATTTTCTCCATATAATGGACTTCAATGGGCACCAAACGGTTCAAGGTCCAAAAGAGTTTCAGTACAGCTTAAAACGACACAAGACGATGAATAAGGGTCTTATCTAGTGAAACGATCACTCATTTAAAAAAGAAATAAAAAAACGTTAATGTTTTATAAGCTCAAATGCTCCCCTTGCTCTGTTCTGTGATGCGCGTCCGTGACTCTCCTGTTTCTGGTTCATCAAAATGAACGAATCTTTTCATTTCGTTCGTTGAACCTTCGTGCGTAGGACCTTGAACCGTTTGGTTCCCACTGAAGTCTATTATATGGAGAAAATCCTGGAATGTTTTCATCAAAAACCTTAATTTCTTTTCGACTGAAGAAAGAAAGACGCGGACATCATGGATGAAAAGTTTTTTTTAAAGTGAACTACTCCTTTAAAAAGCTCCCACACATCAGACTACAAGGAGAAGCAAGAAAACAAAGACCTACTAATGTAAATCATTCAGTAATATACTGAAGTGTAACAATATATAGTTCGAACGAGACATGACAAAACCAGGAAACTTCCATTATAATCAAGGTCGACATGGTAGAGATTTAGGCATCATCTTATTGCAGTAAATTATGATTATTTATGGAAGTCAGTTCTCAGCTTGTTTTAGATGTGTAGTAGAATATTGGCTGCACACAAAACTCAATATTGTATAACAATATCAAGGGAAATTTGATATATTTCTAATATATTTATTAAAGTTCTCTACAGTTTTTTTGTTTTTTTCAAAATGGCAAAAGGTCAAACACAGTCCATGGGAAACTCCCATCAGGACAGGTGAGCTATAAGAGGAAGTGGATACGGCTACGATTTGCAATAAGCACATTTTTAAACCTTCAGAAGTTAGCTAATCCTTAGTTGATCGCTCTTTAAGACACAAGCTAGTTTTCTCAGGCATGGAATAGTGCACATGCTCTTGATTTATTACCGGAGATAACATGTTTGAATTTCTTATCCTCTGTCTACATGAAAACCTCTCCAATATTGCAATACATGTGTGAAAAAAAACACTACTAAACATACAGCAAGTACTAAATTTGAGTAAATCTGTGCTCATTTTATCTCTTTAGCATCTTGTTTTCTCAGTCTAGTCTTTTTACTGACGCAACAGGTCAAGTTTACAAGTTTTGACTAAACTAGTTTTGACTGTTAAACACATTTGATTAACATGCTTTTGAGGAAAGAAAAATGGTAGTTTAAGAAAAATCACAAACCAGAAGGCTTAGTTTATGACTAAATTACTTGGCTGAGATTGCGCTGATGTAAATGTTTGAAAATTTTTTTTGAAACAAGTTCCTCTGTTTACGTGAACTATTCCTAAGTAAAACAAACAGCAGAACAAACATTCAGCTGATTATATTTAAAGTCTTTTCCACGGCGTTCACTTTGAGAGGGAAAGACGCGCAGACAGTCAAGAGAGAGAGAGAGAGAGAGAGAGAGAGAGAGCATGGAATAAAAAGAAATAGGCCAAGTCAAGTGAAAAGAGAAGTTAGTACCCTAATTAATGAACCCCGGCATGTTTCTCTCTCTCTGATCATTGGAGGGGAACATGGCGAGAGCGTATAGCTCATTACTACTGGAGCGGAACATTCCAGAGAACAGCATTGGTTTGTGTCGGAGACGGGACGCCTGACCTCACTCATTCCAGTGCCGGTGGGAGCCAGGCCCATAGCCGGCCCACCAAACCAGACTGCCACTCCATAGGGAGGCTATTAGGGCCAGGCTGGTGAACTTCACCTGCAAACTCTTTCCTAGCCGCATTTCCAATACCCATCGAATTCGAACTTCGTTAGTCGAATACAATGGGCTCTATGCACGGCGGTATTTCCGGTGAAGGATTAAGGATGCTCGATAACTTGCGCCGATTGTAGAGTCCAATGCAATACCGAGAATTTATATTGAATTTTATACTCCATGGTTATACTAAAGAAACGTTAGTCACAAAAACAGATAAAACAGACACCCCTCGTTGTGTTCATGCTTCTTTTTAAAATTATATTAAATAAACATAACTATATATAAAATTACATCTAAACGTATGTACGTTTCACGAGTTCACACTTGCATATAATTTTGAGTGAGTAAGATTCAATGCGTATTTGGCGTGCTGTCCGGAGGGAGGGCTCCGAGCTCGGGAATTCTGCCCGAACCCAGAGTACTCCCCCCGTATACAAGTGATTTTTAGAAAGAGGAGTGTGGAGAACTAGGAGTGTGGAGGAGGGATGCTGCAAACTGTCAATGGATCGAGGTAAGACTGCTGAGTCTATTTGTACCCTCTTATCATTGACTGCTGATTGCTGATTGCGGTCCACTCGTGTCAATTATCTGAACGTGCTCCTCCCGAACTTAGTTAATAAAACTTCATTTCGTTTCAAAGTAGGGCTGCACAATTAATCGAATTTGTAATCGCGATTACAATTATGGATGCCACAATTATGTAATCGTTCAAAGGCACAATTACAAAAAGTCCACTTATATTATTCTGTGTGCTTAAAATGTGTTTTTTATTTACAGCTTATTTTAAGGGTTTTCCCCCATTGTTTTAATTTTAGTTAGTGTAACTATGCTATTAGCATTAAAGCAACACTACCTAACATTGTTTACTTAAAATAATGTTTCCAAAATCTTATCAGTGGTTCATCAAGTCGTAACAGGGTGAAAGGCACTTCTGCCATCGCCTGACGGGGTCTGTATCTCTTTTACTGGCACTATGTAACTTCGGGGTTCGAGTAGTAAGCCGACCACAAAAAGAACTACAAAATTCGACTGCTTTACATCAAGCGCTATAATAGTCATTATGTCGTTTTTTTTTTCATTTCTGATGTCGCAATACATCATCCTTTCATGAAATCATGTAACATACTCATACCTTGTCTGTGGACATCGTTCATTCTAAAGCCGGCGCTGGATAAACAGCGAGCGTGCGTGCGACGGAAGACATAATTATTTACGACAGCGGTAATGGACAATTTCGTTTCCAACCAGTAGGGCGACCGAAGGGGAAAAGTTACTTGGTGTTACTTTAAACCATAGAAAAGTATTGAAAGTTTTTCAGGAGTTTTCAGCCGTTTTATTTTGATATAACAATTTGCATGCAGTCACTTCGAACAATGGCATAAAGCAGTTCAAAACATCATTCAATGTAAATTGTGATAATCGTAATTAATAATCGCAATTATAATTTCAAGGCAATAATCGACAATTATGATTTTTGTCATAATCGTGCAGCCCTATTTCAAAGACGGGAGGACAGTAAATTTTGAACTCTGCCATAATCCCGTTTTCCTCGGTTCTCCTCCGCTTAAATCTCCACAACCGGAAATGGACGAGCATCCTTGCGTCAAACGCGGAACTTGTGCGTGCATATAGCCCATTAAAAAAATAATGATATTCGAACCTGTAATGGGCATTCGTTTTTGTAAATGTGTTTGCTTGTAAACATAGTTTTCAATTCAGATTCTGAGGCTTTTTCACGCCTGGTGAAGTTGTGAATCAGACAATTATTGGTCATCTGGGCTCCTGTTTTAGTCACATAACATTGGTTCATGGAAATGCCATCATTTCAACAGTTTTTTATCGACATTTAGAAAATATCACAAAAGTTGTGTGCAAATCTGTAGTGGAAACGCACCTACTGTTCCCTTCTCTTCCAAAGCTCTAATTCTCCTCTAAACTCACAGTCTCCTTTCCTGACTGTTCTTGAAAAAAATTAGATCCCGGACGAGCCCCCAACGAAACTGAATCTGGTGTTGAAAAGGACATCGTATTATACCCTAACAAAAAAAAAAAAAAAAAATCTGATTTAAGACAACCAAGGCAGCCATTTTGCTTTGTCACAGATGTGTTGATGTAAACAAAAATAAGGCATTGTAACGCATCTCTCCATTTTGAGACCTTCTAAAGTTTCATGCTAAATTTCTCAGACCGTTATGTAATAGTAACTTTCCTTTTAAAAGTGCTGGGCGATGGTTTACTGTGCCAGCCCAGCCCTGCCAGCCAAGTAAATTAGAGGGCAAAGAATTCCTCTTCTCTCCAAACTCTTAACAGCATACTTCCACCGGAAGAACAACCACAGCACAGCGCGCCTTTTCTCCTTCATCCATTCGCTTCCTCTCGTTTCACTATAAAGCGGTCACTACGAGATCAACACAACAAACCAAAACGAGTGTTTAGGACCGTATGCAGAACACGAAGGTTAGCTCAAATCATTGCGCTCTGTAAACTCTGACTCAGATACATCCATTATTTTCCAGAAATGAAAAAGTAAACTAGCTTTCTGACTTGGATTAATGCAACTAAATCTGTCAATGCCATATACCAATGATGATGCTTTTCTCATATACCAATATGTCAATGCCATATACCAATGATGATGCAAAATACTCTTTCCTCATTGCAACCAAGATGAACCAGTGACCTGTCTGGAGCGGCTAAGAGTAAAATCCCTGGTCAGATCCTGAGGGACGAGCAGCCATAATGATTTCCCCTCTAATTTAAGTAATTAATGTAATTATAGACTTAAACAACTACATTTTCACAAGGTCGGTTACAGTTAGAAAGGAAACTAAGAACAACAACAACAAAAAACTTTCAAATGAAAGCACTAAAATACATGGACAGGACAGTGAACTTTGTTATTTTAATTGATTTAATTGAAATTTAATTGAAATTCCAGAAATATATCTAAATAAGGTTCTTGTACAAACTGCCTGAATATGTTCATATGTAATTGACTGTAGTTTGCTCACATTTCTGCATCGACTTGCAACAACTCTGGGTCAAGTCTGCGCATGCAGTCGCCAGCCATCACGTCGCCATTCATAAACCACTCTGCCTTTCCATCATGTTCTTCACACCGGTGGAAACTGTCCATGAACGTCTTGACTTGAAATTGCAATGGTGACTTAACAGCAGGGAGAGTATTTAAAAGCTCAACTAGAAGAAAGGACGTAAGTGTATGCAACTTTGATGTAAAGCTTCAATGATTAGAAAGTTCTAGACTGCTGAACAGTCCAAGATTGAAGGAGGGGTGGGATGTATTTTGCACTACTCTGAAATTATCTAGTGAGTGATGAGGAAGAAAAAGGGAGTGACACTGTGAGGTGGGAGCAGAATTATTTTGCTACGTACAAAGCAACAGAACAAACGCCCTATAGCACAACTTAACTACGTTTCAAGATTATTGAATTCATTTCTGTAAAAACATTCATTACTTTAGCTGCCCAAAAGCCCTAGAGCACAACACGACTCAAACTTGTGACTTAACTTTTGTGAAAACATACATGTCTGCTCAAATTAAGACATAAATGTGACTTTCAGCTAGAGAGACGTTATTTCTGTCTTTAAAATCTTGTGTCTTTTAACAATGTGTGTGTTTTTTTTACTGAATTATCCTTCTGCCACAGTGCCAGCCAAACTCATACCTCAGTATAGTTACGTTGTTTGTCACTTTTTTTTTTACTGTGGGAAGATAAACAACAGCAAGAATAAACCTGCCTTACATCAAGATAACAGGCTTTTTTTTTTAGAAAGGGAGTCTGCTATCTCAAGGATGAAGGCCCAATAATGTATGAAAACACTGATTTACAAAATAATAATAACAATTAAAACAGTGCAGGGGCAAAATTAAAGGTCCCAAATAACGAGGGTGGAACGTAATAGCTTAGAGTTGTAACACTGAACATAATAACACCTTTTCCAGAAGCAACCACGTGAAACAGAAGTCCAATATCTTAAGCTATTTTAATATTTAACGATTTTGCAAACATTACTTCGTTGTACTGTCCTTCTGGATGGCTTAAAATATGAGATGATGTGCGAGAACGCGCGTGACACTAGGCTACAGGCACGCGCATCAACTCGCTCTCATAAAAACATCAGAATATGGGGCCATTTGATGATGAAAGCTAGCGTAGGATACTCATACGAAACTCGTAAGGAAAAACAAATTGTACAAATAAATTAGAATAAAAATACATTGACATTTAAACAAACTGCCCGGTCAAAATAAATTTGAAAGTGATTTAAATAAGGGCCACTTTTGGTTTCTGACAGACAAATATAATTAAAATGATCCTGAAAATTATTTCTAAGATGGTTTTCTGGAAACAACTGTCATCAAACTCTTCCAAAACTCTAGTATTATTCAAATCAATAAAACAGCAAAGCATGTGTATTTGATTACAGACACTAGAGTCCATTTACAGGCGTTACTCACCTTTTTCTTTTTGAAGCAAATCCTTTCTGAAAAGAGTCGATCCCAGATCAGATTCAGAGGTTTATAGAATACAGGTTCCCAAAAACAGTCAATGGACAAAACTCCACATTTCCTCCTCTGTTGTAAGTTTAGCCTTTTTTAGTTTTCATTAAACCACACGGATGTTAACTAGCTACTCGTTCGACTCGCCTGAGCGATAATCGTTTGAAATCAGTGAAAATATTCGGTCAAGGCGCGTGCTCGTGCTAAAGATCGCGTGAAGATGATTTCCTCAAGTATCATAACGTTTAAGACTCGCTCATAACACCAACAAACTGATTTTTGACCGTGTTCTCCCGTTTTTCTTCTGAAAATCCCACCCGTGCGGATTTTGTTTTGTTTGCGCTCGTGCGACAAGGAGGTAGAGGGGAAAAACTTTTATCCCAGTCGCTACTTCGGTCGAAAGTCAAAACTAACCAAAACGATCAAATGCGCTTTTACTTGAGTCGCAGTCCTCTGTATAAAGCGGTCTAGCTTCTGGAAACCAACTTCACTTTTGAATGTTTGAACTAGTTTGTAGATAGTCCGTATCTTCGTCCTCCCCCAGCACTACAGAGGATACAGCTGCGAGATTCCGCACTCATGGATGGAGGAGTGTGTGTGTGAGCAGAAAGACCTGACTCCCCCTCCATCACTCCAACACCTCAGGACTACCAAACAGCTCGCCCAGTGCATCCTGGGATTGTAGTTTCTGTCACACTGAGCCCCTCAAAAAATGCTTTATAGAAAAAAAAAAACCCAATAACATTATTGCTACATTTCTTTTGAAATTATACAGTTCATTATAAAAATAGAGACACAAAGTTACAGACTGGTTAAATTCCCAATTAAAATGGAAGTTTTTTGGCTTTTAGTATGAAAATGTTAGCCATACTGTTGTCTATAAGCTGGTGTGCTCCAAAAACAAGCACAAAATTCACATTTAGAAGTAGCCTAATACGCATTCAAAACTTACAGTCTCTCACTTTTGTCAATATGGATCAATAATTTTGATGACATCACTCTGCACTTCAGCTTCTCATCAGATTTTCTGACCAATCAAACGCTCTCTAGAATCTGAAGCACCACCCCTAGCTATATTATAAATATAGGCTACTAGCTCCGGTCCAGTTAGCGCAGAGCTTATCTTATGATCGAGTCAACGCAGATGAGAAAACGCATCGAAACCCATTTGAATTTTGTATTTTAAAACGATATGAAGGAGATTAGGAGGAGAAACGGTTAGCGATTAGGAGGAAACTGCAGCTTTCAACGGCTCTGGCTGAACTGTGTTGTAAACTAAATGCTATTGGCAATTTGAATTATCATTATTAAATAAAGATGCGCATATCAAGGCACTTCAGTGGGTCTTTAAGGTTTATAATGTCCATGTTATGCATCAACTACCCATTGAAATGAATACAATAATATTCTAAATGCTTAAAGACAAGTGACTGATAAGTCTCCTTTCTTTGTCCTCCGTAGATAAAGCTTTCCGTTCATTCTTCATGTGTGTATGCATGTGTGACAACAATGTCCACACACCCCTAACACGGTTTGTGTTTGCATAGTGAAGATGACCACAACAAAGTCAAGAGTGTGTAAACGTATTATCTCAACAGCAGGAAAAGGTTCGATCAAGCCCCAGATAACATCTCCTCTTTTATTTCAAACTTCAATTAGTTCAAGATACTTTAGCATAGAAAACATCCGTGGGGAAGCATCTGCTTAAGTAGTGCAGCCATTGTTGGGGATCGATGTGTGTTTTTTTTTTTTTTTTTTTTTGTGATTGACCTGGCTAGCAGAGATTTGTCAAGCTGTATTAAAAAGATATGATTAAAATACAAAAGTAAACATTTTAAAAGCTAAAGATAGAAATATAGTCAAGTGTGACATCTGCTTTTCTAAGAAACAACAAAACGGTTTCTACTGAAATTTCAATTTAGACATTGTTTATTCGCTTGCCAGTGTTTTGTTCAGTTGTAAGGTTTCACCAGAGGGCTTGAGGTGACAATTTTCTCTCTACTAAAACATTTATTGGCCCAATTTGCTCTCCAAATAACAGCAAAGTCCAAGAAAGAGACAGCAGACGTCTGTGTGAGTGTAACACATGTTCCAATAGGGCCTCGGGACTGATGTTTTTCTTTTCTTTTGACGCAATGTTTTATTGAAACATCAGTTACTTTAACATGATTGTTTTCCTGCTGACAGAGGAATGACTGTATAGGCCTACTCTACATTAGACCATCAAGTGGTTTAGACATCCACAACCTCACTTATGAGACCAGATGCTGGTAAGACCCAAAAGATACATTTCCTGAAATGAAGAGGTTATTGTCCACAAAGCCTAGGAATAAATCTGTCTCATTGTCTGCTAGCCCCCCTCTCGTTCTTCAGGCAAGCAAGCAGGCAGCTGAATCTGAAAGGGTCCCATTGACTTACTAAAGGGGGCTTATCACGAAATACAGCAATGAATGGAGGTGGCAATGAGGTGTGAACCAGTCTCAGTGAGACTAATGAGGGATAGACTGCAGGAAAGGAGTGGAGGAGGGGTGAAGACAGACGTAAACAGAGAGATGGAGAGAGAAATGTGGTCAAAAGCACAACCTCATACGAGAATCACTCATACGTAATATTATTTCTTTGGATAACTCGTCCTGCCCCATTGGTGGTAGGCTACACGAAGGACACCTTCAATCATGCATCTTGGTGTGGAAAACTATGTTAGCACTCTGAATGATCAGATTTTCACCAGGGGCCCCATTTATAAAACGGTGCGTTCAGTCTCATCCCAAGAAGTCATATAACTGACGTCTTGGGACGTCTTTTGACCATACGTCAACATCCGCCTTTTTACCCAAAAACGTCGGCTATACATGACGGTCCCGGGCCGTCATACAACTGACGCTTTACCTTTAACGTCAGTTAGGTGACGGGGTAGGTTTAGGTCTGGGGTAGGGTTAGGATCCGATAACGTCATCTAACGTCATGTTGACGTATGGTCAAAAGACGTCAGTTATATGACGTCTTGGGATGAGACTGTGTTAAAGTGTACATTCTAAAAATTGCTTAGTTGTTTTAACCCAACTTTGGGTCAAATATGGACAAACCCAGCCATTGGGTTACATTTTTTAATGACATTTTTAACCCAACGTTTGGGTTTGTCCATATTTGACCCAAATTTGGGTTAAAACAACCCAGCATTTTTAGAGTGTACGTGCGTTTGAAAGTCAAACATGGCGTCCGCAAAAAAAATGTTCAGACAAACCTGCGCAGAATTCACTTTATAAATCCCAGTCAGCGGATGATTTCGCGCACGTGCGTCTCCTCCCCGAAATAACCAAATATGGAGCTTACATACGCCCTTACTATGCATATCCTCATCTGATCTGCATATCATTTGCATATGATTATTCATCCACGTGATAACGCGTTAACGGTACAAGACATCAGAAAAATATTAAATACGGATGTGCCGTCACATTACATGAATACATATAATTTAGTAGCCTATCCTTGCATTGTTTTTGAATAAATAAATCAAATAGTGTAAAATGCATTTCAGAGAAAGTTTTTCTCAATTTTTTCCACTGGCCAAATAGTATTTTTAATTCATTTTAGGGCTGTCAAACGATTAATCGTGATTAATCGCATCCAAAATAAAAGTTTGTGTTTACATAATATATGTGTATAATTATTTTATATATATAAATACACACACATGCTTGTATATATTTAAGAAATATTTCCATGTACATAGATTTATATATAATTTATATTATATATAAATATAAATATTTTATATTTATTTTCTTAAATATACATGCATGTGTGTGTGTATTTATATATATACAAAATAATTACACAGTGCACACATATATTACAACGCATTTGACAGCCCTAATTTATTTATATGTTGAATGGAACCAGATAGACCTTGTTTTTCATTATTTGCACAAAACAATTTTCTCAGACAATTTTCTATTATAAAAAGCAGTTATCTCTGTAGTTAAAACACTAAAACACAGCGTGCCAGAGGAAAAGTGTTCAAAAGCATTGCATCCACAACAATTATTATTATTTCTGGAAATAACGCTGGGTTTTCAAAATTATGTGAAGTTTGCAGGGCCATTGTCACATGAGCTTGCTCAATGTTCTTGAATGAAAAATGTATTAGACGGATGCTGGTCTATTATTGCAGGGACATTAACTTTACACCCCTAAACATGATGCGGAACAAATCGAACTGTGATTGGTTGCTTTACATGTTTTCAGATGTCCTCTTGGGCAGTCATTGGCCAATGGAGGCTGTGATGGAGTCCAGACCTTCTACTGTCAGTCTGAAGGTCTGGCTATGCTTAAACATTTTATGATTGGATCAATGAAACCACATGTGAAGGTTTTCAGGAACACATATTGCATGTGCAGTGTAAAAGCTCATTTGTCCTGAATGTGTCCCGGACCACAGTGAAACCACATTCATAATTTCTTCAGAAAAAAATGCAAAACTCTAGTTGTAAAAGAAATCTTACTTACAGGGCAAAAGCAAGTGGTTCAAAACTGTTGAACCTTTTTACGCCGCACACAAAGACAGAAGATATATCTGGAAGTCATATTACAATGATCTAATTCTCATATCTGTCATTTATTTATAATGCCCCCATGTGTGTCTTTGATGCTCAAAGTGCAGCTTCATCTTTTGATAAAGCATGTGTGTTCAACATTTGCCTGCTAAATTATGCTGGCGTTTCTTCAATAGAGTCTGCAAATCATCTTGAGTGTCAAAAAGAGATGCTGTGTTTGAATGCAAATCCTCTCTCTGAACTAAACATGCTGTAAAGAACAATGGGATCCCTCATATTGTTCAGTTTTTACAGCGTAAATTCTTCATCTAGACGAAGCTAGTCATTGTTTAGAAAATGTGTTTGTATATATCTTTGAGAACCTTTTAAATGGATTGTTTGACCAAAACCAATTGAGATTATTGATCACCAACACCAGGCAATCCATTTAAAAGTAAAAGCTTGTCTGTCCTCACCTCACAGCTTTTCCCTGTGATAATTACTGATGCTTTTTAATCAAAGAGTTTTAGCAAAGTCAATGAGAGTGTTAAAGGGATGACTCATGCAGAAATCAAAATTAGCCCATGATTTACTCATCCTCAAGCCATCCTTGGTGTATATGAGATTCTTCTTTCGACGAATAATACGAAAAAATGTCCTGACTCTTCCAAGCTTTATAATGGCAGTGAATGGATGTTTATTTTCATATAAGTCCATCAAAGCGCATCCATCCATGATAAAAGTGCTCCTCACGGCTCTGCAGGGGATTAAAGGAGTAGTTCACTTTTAAAAATGTCCATGTCTTTCTTTCTTCAGTCGAAAAGAAATTAAGGTATTTGATGAAAACATTCCAGGATTTTTCTCCATATAATGGACTTCAATGGGAACCAAACCGTCCAAAAGACATTTTCAGTGCAGCTTCAAAGGGCTTTAAACGACACCAGACGATGAATAAGGGTCTTATAGCGAAACGATCGCTCATTTAAAAAATAAAATAAAAAAGTTGAAGTTTTATAAGCACAAATGCTCGCCTTGCTCTGGTCTGAGATGAGCGGTCG